CTTGGTTAAGGCTATCTAGACACCTTCTTTGCTTTAGCCTGTGTCAGCATATAGCATTCTTTCGCGGCGACTTGATCGCCCCATAGATTAATAACCTCTTTTCCATCCAGAGATAAACACCGTATCACCTGATGAAGGGTGGACGGAATTCCTTTCATTCGGTGTATCCAGCCTCTTCCCATGATGAGATTATAGGAAAGGTGGATCTCTGTTAAGACAAGTTCTCCTTCAGAGTCCTTTTTGCCGCAGTTACGGATAAGTCTATTACCCCAAGGGGATCTACTCTTGTGCCATCGAACCTCATCAATGGGCTAGAGGTACGTCGAATAGATGATGACGGGATCTCTAGCTGCTTAAAGACCGCCTTTCTGATGATGTTGGCACTACTCCCTGGGTCTATCAAAACCCTCTTGATCATGTAATTTGCCACTAAAAGACTGATGACCAATGGATCCTCGTGGGGGAGTTGAACTCTGGATAGGTCGCCATCGCCTAATCCAATACTGATGCTGCCCGAAGCAATAGCATTGGCCGAGGATATCTTCCTGAGCTTATGGGTTGCCCTTAGTCTGGATCTGTATACCTCCTCAGACTCTTGATCTTCTTCAGATATGCCATGTATTGCATGAATGACCTTTACTTGAGTACCTTCTACCTTGCGAGGATAGACCTCTCGGGGCTTCACATATTCCTTCGTCATGAGGTAGTCTACCAACTCACCTCTGGCTATCATATTTTCCACTTGTCGCCTAAGGGATCTGCAATCATTGGTTGAATGCCCATAATCTCAATGATAAGCACAATGCTTGCTTTTGTCCCTTTTCTCCAAGGGTTGCTTCATTGGCTGCGGGGCTGTGAACCTCATCTTATTCTCTTGGAAGAGCCGAGCCAAGGTAGTTCAGAGAGGTGTAAACCCTTCCTCTATCCTTTGCCTCTTCTCAGGTGCCTGGGTGATTGGCGTTGAGGCGCGTTGGTTTTTCTGGATTTTTGAATTTGGAATTCTCTTTCGAGGCTTGTTCTTCACTGTCACGAGGGTGGTGTGCTGTGCTCGGTGGGCTACATTTTCCTCGAGCTGGATGTAGATCTAGGCCCTGGCATTGAGAGTCTGCATGTCAAGAGGAGAATATTTGACCAAGGAAGTATAAAACTTCATCCCCTGAATCATTGCAAGTTTAAATATTTCTATAGCAGTCGTGGGATAACAGTCTACTATTTCTGAGGCTTCAATGTTAAATCCAGATAAGAAATCCTACAGTGTTTCCCCTTTCTTTTGCAATACTCTTCTTTTGCTTCTTATTTCTACAGTATTGTGCTAGGACCATGGTGCACAGAGTTACGTAATCCGGGATGAACTTGTGTGGCCTATTTCTGAACCACTCTAGTACTGCTCCTGTCAAGCTAGTAGGAAAAACTCTACACATCCAAAGGTCATTATGGTAATCCAAAGCCATCTTTTGGGCGTAATGATCCAGGTGCCGAGAAGGGTCTCCCGTACCATCAAACTGAGTAAAAGAAGGCATGGTAAATTTCTTGGGCCTTTCAACCATATACACATCGTCAGTGAAAGGAGTTTTCACCAGGGAGTTTTTGTGCTCTCTGACCATCTCAGCGGGTGTTTGAATCTTCAGGAGTCTTTTCTCATTAAAGGCATCCTGAACACCTACACCATCTGGAATACTATTGGACCACACCGTGAGCTTATGGCTAGACTCGGCTTGCTCGTCCTACGTGCGACGAGGGAAGTTGTCTGAAGCGACGGCCTCAGACCTTGCCCTCTGCTGTTGCTGAACCTCGTTTGGCTGAGCCTCATTGGGTCGTACCCCATTAGGTTGAGGTCCGTTAACTGGAGGAATATTCTGATTAGGGGGTGCTGCCGTATCACCTGGTGGTGGCGGTGGTGCCAACTGAGCCATCGCCGTTTGCAGAGTGTTATTCTGTTGTTGAAGCAAAGCGATATGAGCTACGTTAGCTTCGTTTGCTCGACGAAGTACGTCAAACTGGTGTAGAAACTCTTCACGCATCTTCTGCATCAACTCCGTCTGTTGATCTGTTGAAAATCCTCCGTTCGACATTCTAGATGGTAGTAGCAGGATTCACTTAAAACAAGGGTGGGAATATATTTGCACACGATTCCCACAGACAGCGCCAAAGTATAGGTGCAAAATTTCGCCCAACCAATAATGATTAAGAAAAATAAAATAACTCACTTAAAAAACAATAAAAATAGACAAGAACAATATATAGAGAAGCGTAGAATTACTTGATCTCTTTATTAAAGGTTTGGGCCTCTATTTATACACAAAAGATTGGTTGAATTATGGTAGGACTCGCATTGCTTGTCCTCTAATTCTTTCCCTTCAGAAATTCTTTACAAATAGAGTTCCTTCCTTTGTATAATTTTCTTTGTGTAGTAGTTTCTTTCTTTACTGTATCCTTCTTCTAATTGGACTAATTTCTTTTCAATGGATTTGGGATATAAGTAACCTAATCCATGTGATATTGCTAACGGGCTAGATCTCTTGTTTTGGGCTTGAGCAATGTTACAGAGATCAATTAGCTGTGACCTTGGGCTAGTGTCTTATGATTTTGGGCTACCAACGAGCTTGGATTGGGCTTCGAGCAGGATGGGCCTCTAACATTTGTGATGGGTATTTATATTGCGATGACGTGTAAAGTTCTCATTGGAGGGATATTTTTCCCTCCACAACCATGTTTCAAAATGTTTTGCAAAAGGCAATTGATGACGGTATTTTAAAGTTTTCGGAAAAATAGCTAGAGGTAATGAACAAAACAAGCACTAACATGATCAGTTTGGCATAATGGCATCTAAGAAGAAGGCTGATCCAGATGAAAAGAAGAAACATCCCCAGGTGTCTAATATCCCAACATTAGCCACCATATATAGACGTAAAAACAAAGGAGGCTGATCATAAGCCTTTGTATGTTGCTAAGGTTTACTTGGCTGAAGCCATGCTCTATGATGAAGATTGTATGCCTACCCAATTTGTATGTACTACTACTAGCAACATAGGACTATCGATATCGGCCATAATGAAAAGGATCCTGGCTGACGCTGATTTTAAAAAATTATTCACAGGGTTGAGGCTAGAGCTACCTTGACCAGCTTTTGAGAAAATCCAAGAAGTTATTAATGGTGGTCGATCCTACTAAAGTGGGGCGATCAACATCAGCTACTATAAAAAGAATCCTGGCTGATAATATTTAATCAAGTAATGAAATAATATATAAATATATATTTTGTGTAACTTTGGAGAATTACTTATATTCTTATTGATGTAAAAAGATAATTATAGATCTTTATTACTCATTATGTTCGATAATAGTTGTCCATTTTTCATTTTAGACCCTTTTAAGGGAACATGCAATTAATGTATTGCCTCCTTATAAGATTCTAAATTGTCCTTCAAGTTTAAATATTTTATCTTCTAAATTAAGAGATTTTTTAAATTTTAAAGGATAATTTTTAAAAAATTAGTTTTATCTTGCTTTTACTTTTCAAAGTGGACAATTATTTTAGAAAGTGGATGACTTCACTTTCTTATTTGTTGCATAACTTACTAATTAAAAGAGTAGGTCTAACAATTTATTGTAACTATTTGGTATAAGAATCATTTCCATTGATTAATTATGTAACAAATAATAAAGGTAGAGATATCCACTTAATTGTATTTGGTATAAATAGTCAATTAAAAATTATTTGGTTAAATAATTCATTACAAGTGTTCGATATGATCAAGTATCACTACTCTTAAAATTTTGTTTGTAACTATACATATTTATTTAAGGAGAGTGTCTACATACTCATCCCTACTGATTGTTGATGTGCTCCAATCAAACATATACATATCATCTATAATTACAAAATTAGAAAATTAATATATAAAGACAAAATATATATTTATTTAAGGAGAATCCTACTCAATGATGAGTAAGTGATTCCTATTGATTGTTGATGTCCTTCAATCACACTTATAATATCATCTGTAATTACAAAATCGAAAAAATAATAAATAAAGACAAATATATATGTGTATATATATATACTATTTTTTTTTTTTTTTTTGATAAATTGAGACACCTTTTTGTAATATTGACCTAGTCACTGATGAGGAGGCAAGTATTATCCTTAATTTATTATCTTTCAGTTTTAAAAATTTATAGATACTATAAAAATACTTCATAATTAAGTATGAGACCCTTATCATTTGAAAGATAAAATGAGTCAGCATCACTTTTAGGATATTCTTGTGCATTAATGCATTATCTAGTGGTATTCTAATGTAATTTAATTTGAAATTAATTTTAATAAATAATACTTATGCAATTAATATATATATATATATAGAGAGAGAGAGAGAGAGAGAGGCTATTAAGCAAGGATGGGATAAAGAAAGAATTTGTTTATTTATTTTTAGATAAACTTAATTATTTGAATTATAATTTTTTTTATTATTAATTTTGTGATGAAGTGATGATATCATGGTTACTGATTGATTATATTTACTTAGTTTATTTTTTCCATTTTACTAATTTGCATAAAATGAAATTTTGTTTTATTATTCGTTGCATTTTTTTTTATTTATGTTATTATTTGTTACATTTCTTTTAAAGTGTTTACAAAGATATGATATATAACCAAATAAATAAGATGTGTATAGTTGATTTTTTAGTTCATACAACATATTATACTTATACTTATTTGTATTTTTAAGTGTCCCTTTTTTTTAAACTGGATTTTTGTAAAAAATTTAAATTATACTCATACATTTCGGAATCCATGTTTTTTCCCATACCTATTTTACTAACTATGACAGGTGACATGGAAGGAAAATAATAATTATGAATAACTCTATCCTTACCCCTATATTTTTTTTCGGAAGATAATCCTTACCCCTATATTGCTCTATAAAAAACCAGAGCCAGTACTGCCACTCTTTACTGCATTAGAGCTATTATCGTCATAATCATAATAAAGAGAAATGGGTATTCAAAACCATGTCCTCTTAGCCCTACTAGTCCTTGTTAATATAGTTACCAGACTGACCAGTAGTGTAGCATTTGCATGGACTTATGGCAGGGCTGTGAATGTAATCGATCGCAAAAGCGAACTTTTATCTCCGAGTTACCGCATAGGTTCTCTCAACCGTAGCAGTTTCCCGAAGGGTTTTGTCTTTGGAGCAGCATCGGCAGCCTACCAGGTATATATATATATATATATATATATATATATATATAGATGTGCATTGTGCGCAAACCACAATTTTTTGTGTACGTTTCTGACAAATGAGTGCTGAATCCTTATTAATTTATAATTATTTTCAGGTTGAAGGTGCTGCAAGTGAAGGTGGTAGAGGCCCAAGTATATGGGATACTTTCACACACAAATACCCTGGTCTGTCTCTATCTCTCTCTCTCCCTCTCTAAGATCACCAAGTATAAGAATTTGCGAAATCGCTCTGAGGATGAAAACATGTCTTAATCTAGGTTTTCAGTCAGTTGCCACTAGCTCTTCAACTTCTATGCTTGTAGAGGTTGGATAACTGAGTCTAGTTGTTTAGTATAAAATCTATACTTGGCCCACTTAAAAATAAATAAATAAATTCTTTCTTTAATTAGCATTTAACAAAAGATAATTTCTTAATTTTTTATATTTTTTAAGATTATTTTTTGCCTAAAAGTTCTAGCTAAGCAATGTTGATAGTTTAGCCCCCCCAAGATCCTGGCTCCGCCTCTTATTAAAGTGGAGAGAGTTTTATGTAATTTGTCATTATTATTATTTTCAAAGAATAGCTTTCAAACATTGTTCATCAGTACAATCTCTGGTATTGCGATGTCCCAGGTTAGCCATATAGACTTTTTATAATTAACAATGAGTTGAAGTATGATTTTGCTAGTTACATTCAATTTCATTAACTTATAATATTTAACAACTGACTTGAAGTATGATTTTGGTTATATCCAATTTCATTCTTTGTCTTTTTTAAATAAAATTTTATAATTAAGGCAACCAAAAACTGTACACTGTATTTATCGTAACATAATATAAAAAAGAGGTTTAATTGGCCATTCCAGTACGTATGACTGGTGGATTAAAGCATAGTGACATCTCTTTTATCATGTTATATATATCTGGTTACTAAAACTTCTTATTGCAAAATTTTAGAGAAGATAGCGGATGGTAGTAATGGAGATGTGGCCATTGATTCTTATCATCGGTACAAGGTATATATATATATATAGTTACGTTACTCAACTTTTATGCTAAGCCTTTGGGGGGAAAAACTTTTATGCTGGCTATTTAAATGCTATCACACTGGATTTAAAATTTTGTGATTAATATTATTATTAATTTCTCCATTTTAATTATGTAGGAAGATGTGAATACCATTAAAGGAATGGATCTTGATGCTTACCGATTCTCAATCTCGTGGTCGAGAGTGTTGCCACGTAAGATGATCATTTGCATTAATTCACAACATTGTTTATCTATTTATGCATGGCAAGATGGATCCTATTATACCTTTCAAAAACAAAAATAAAAAAATAAAAATAAAAAAGAAGAAGAAGAAGATGGATCCTATTATAGGACTCAATTGGTTTGAACAAAAATTCTATCATAGAAAATTCTCTATGATACATTTCCCATTTTCATTTCACCCAAAAAAAAAGAAAAGAAGAAGAAGAAGAAGAAGAAGAAGAGGAAGACATATGGGTCATAATATAGATACAATGATGTGACTATATTGTAACTTTGTAAATCTAGGGTACATGTAATGTAGAGCGTAAATGATTCACCATGAAGTCTTCCATCACGATCCCTCATATATAGAAATCAGAATGGGTTGTTTCAAAATGTTGGAATGAAGATGTGGGGAAAATTTGGCGTCATAGAAGTCAGAATGGATTGGAAGAATCTATTTTACTTCAAATTAAAAAACGACCAAAATTCAAACAACTTAATTGCATTTGGTCCTTGGATGGTGGCAGGGAAGCCCATGATCCTCCAAAAATGGCATCCTATTTGGGTCAAGTTCTTTAATGTACCAGTTCAGTACTGGACAGATAAAGGCCTTAGCCTTATTGCAAGCACAGTAGGGAAACCTCTTCATGCTTATCAACCTAAAATGTCAAGGACCAAGCTACAATTTGCAGGATTATGCTTACATACACAGTTTTATTTATTTATTATTATAATTTTACCAAATTAATAGATCACTTTGAAGTTTTTGCAAAAATGATGATAGTTCAGTGGAGTTTGTTGAAATTTGATGGGTTTTCTTTCTTTATTTTTTTTCTTTCCATTTTATGAGAGAAATTAGGCAATTTTATAGTGCCATTAACGGTTGAATAAGGAATGAGTGCTATTTGTAAATGTAATGCTTGACAGATCAAAGAGTGTTTTGTAGTCTAGGAATCTTTTCTTAAATAACAAAATTGTGATAGTTCAGGGATTTTGTATAAATAATAATAATAATAAAAACAAATAAAGAGATAATTTTACTGGGAGGTTCAATATTTTCAATTAATTTTCTTTCTGTTTTTCCTATTTTGATTCTGTAAAAGTTTGTAAATTACAGTTGGGAAGCTAAGTGGAGGCGTGAACGAGGAAGGAATTGAATACTATAACAACCTCATTGACGATCTCCTAGCCAAGGGTAATGAGTTCTGTCATGCTTTCCCATATAGTAATTTATATATATATATATATACACATATATGTTCGTCTATATTGTTCATATGGAGTATATATAAAGTGCCTATCAACATACATATGTAGGTGTAGTGCCCTTTGTGACTCTCTTCCATTGGGATATGCCTCAAGCTTTGGAGGATGAGTATGGCGGTTTCCGGAGTCCTCAAATTGTGTAAGCCACTGGATTTTCGTTTTATTATTTTCATTAGCAATTTTTTTAAAACTCTGATTGCATTTGACATAGTATTGATAATATATATAATACAATTTGATAGGAATGATTTTCGTGATTACTCGGAGCTTTGCTTCAAGAGATTTGGTGATCGGGTGAAGCACTGGATCACTTTGAATGAGCCGTGGTCCTTCAGCAGTGCTGGGTATGCATCTGGTGCCTATGCACCTGGTCGATGCTCTGCTTGGCTACAAAACAATTGCACCGGAGGAGATTCAGGCACTGAACCATATCTCGTGGCTCATTACCAGCTTCTTAGTCATGCAACCGTCGTAAAATTATACAGAGAAAAGTATCAGGTAACATTTGTAAATATTAAACATTTTACACAAATCCAGTTAATATTATGACTGTTTAGTTACCCATATATATATATATATTATCACTGTGTAAATTTGTAATGCTTTTCAAGTCAAAGAATAAACTTACCAAGGTAGAAACACACTAGATTTATATGATGTCAGTCCAGTTTTTCACTTAATATATATATATATATATATATATATATTCTTTGCTATTATAACATTGTGATTCACTAATTTAGAAATGTAAACAGGCATCACAAAAAGGAAAGATAGGAATTACTCTCGTTTCAGAATGGATGGTGGCCTCTTCTAATTCGAATCTGGATGGCCGGGCTGCAGTACGGTCCCTAGATTTCATGCTTGGATGGTAAGAATTAATCGCACGCTCCTTTTTATTCTTTATTATGTTAATTTTTTATTATGAATAAATTATCTTTACCTCCCGTAAGTTACTCACGGATTAAACTATTTTAAATAACATGGTCAACCTCCACTCTTAGAGTTTGGTTGACTTTTCTTTGACAACAGTTGTTGTGTGTTGACCAACTTAGTTCAAACATAAATTATTATTAAAAAAAAAAAAAGAAGTAATGCTATGTTTTAGGGATTTGAGAGAGAGAATTAATTAAAAAAGAATCATTTGTAATAAGAAAATAAATAATCTAATACCCTCAACCAATCTGTCTCTTTCTTTCTCTTGGTTAACCCTCAAAGAATCTGTTTTTTTTTTTTTTTTTTTTTTTTTCACATAGTTAAACCCTTTGTCTTTCTGTCAAAGAGTCTCTCCACCGGCATTCTATCTTTGTTTCTCTCTATCTGTGCCATCAATCCGGTTACCGAAGATAGGTGAGGCTTTGTTTTCTTGAAGGTTTGATTTTCTCTAAGCTATGAATCAAAAGATCCTTAAACAGATGGAGTCGTTTCCAATCTTTCTTAATGAAGAAGAAATTACGATGGATATGAAGGAGGGGGATGGAATGGTGTTTTAATTGTATTCTTGGAAAAATACTGTATAAGAATGCTATCAACACTTATGACTTGCATAATATCCTGAGAACAATTGCACATCTCGTGGCTCATTACCAGTTTCTTAGTCATGCAACCGTCGTAAAATTATACAAAGAAAAGTATTAGATAACATTAATTATAAATGTAAACATTGTGATTCACTAATTTAGAAATGTAAACAGACATCACAAAAAGGAAATATAGGAATTACTCTCGTTTCAGATTGGATGGTGGCCTTTTCTAATCCGGATCTGGATGGCCGGGCTGCAGTAAGGTCCCAAGATTTCATGGTTGGATGGTAAGAATTAATTGCACATTCCTTTTATTATTGGACAACCGGTGTTGTGTGTTGATCAGCACTGCTAAAGTTAGTTGAAACATTAATTATAAATGTCAAAAATACCCTCATGTGCAGCATATTTACCATATTAACCTTATAAAGTAAATGAAATTACTTTCCAAGCCATTCGTAATCGGACCAAATTACCCGTACCTACAACCTTAGAAATGGGGTAAATCTACTTTCATCTCTCTCTCTCTACCAGCCGAAGTGATAGGAGCCCGAAGAAAATCTCCTAGTCTAGGGTTTGATGTGGATGTCTTTGGTGGCGTTAAACTGTTATGGACACCACAAGCCTAAGGAACATTCTCTCAACAAATCTTAACCAAATTATATATAACCATGACTAAGCAATAATTTCAAAATAAACCTTTCAAAATAATAATAATAATTGCAAAATAATGCAACAACTCTGGTACAAGGTCAATTGATATACATCAAAGTAGGAACCATGATTGACCACTAGCCAAAGAACAACCTTGCAAGAAGAGCTGTTGCATGGCCTCCAATGAACCAACCTTCTTTATCTCTTATGCAATTCTTAATAAGGCAAATAATGTGACTGCAGTAACTGATCCCACTGATATATCATGTTTTTCTAAATGCTCTTGCATTTCTTTCTTGCCAAATAAAATATATAGCAGCTGGAAAGAGAAGTTTGTGTGTAATGAAATAACTCTAAATTCACGTGTATAAACACCAATTAATGAGCCCTCTCCAATTAAAGAAAAACGACTACATCCCACTGATCTATCATGTTCTTCGATATGTCTAAATTAAGTCAAAAGCAGCAATATTTTGCTGCTGATGTCTTTGTTTTGTTAGAAATATAAAATGATCTAATTTTTTTTTTTTTTTTTTTTTTTTTTTTCCTTTTCAGAATTATATGAAAAATTAGTCATTTAATTCACAAATTGCTATATCTATTCCAGGTTTATGAACCCATTAGTATATGGTGATTATCCACGTACAATGCGTGCTCTTGTCAGGCACCGACTTCCAAAGTTCACGGAAGAACAATCCATGGTGGTAAAGGGATCCTATGATTTTATTGGCTTGAACTATTATACTGCAAAATATGCAGCTCATGAACCCTACTCCAATGCTCTAAATGTAAGTTACACAACAGATTCCCTAGCTAAGCTTACCTGTAAGTTCTTCAATCCTCACTCTTTTGCTACTATTCTCAAACCTATGCTGTAACTTCATGCTAAACAGACATTGATTTTCTTTTTTCTAGCTGAGAAGAATGGAGTCCCTATTGGTGTACAGGTACCATTTTATAAATCCTTTAATTAGGAGTGTTGTTGTGTGGAACCCAGTTGAGTGTATCCATTGAATTGGGAGTTTCAGCTCCCCATTTCCCGCGTTCGAACTCTTTGGCATATAGCATTGCTCTTTACAAATTTAGTAACCTTTCTTTTAGTACTTTTTGAGTTGAGATTTTTACAATTTATATGAAAAAGTGATGTTTATGTTAACATTGTTAATTATGTTGGTGCAGGCTGGTTCAATTTGGCTCCATGTTTATCCGAAAGGGGTTTGGCATCTTCTACTCTACATAAAGAGAAAATATAATAATCCACCTCTTTACATTACAGAAAATGGTAACGAATAGTTTAATTCTTTCACCATTTTAAAGCGACAAAAACTTATTTATTCACATATATATATAGATTAAAAAAATAAAATATCGATACAAATTTTGACTCTAAAAATTTCTTATTATTTTGTAGGGATTGATGAGGTAAATAATGCGACATTACCACTTAAAGAAGCCCTCATCGACAACTTTAGAGTAAAGTATTACCATCGCCATCTTGCTTTCGTTCACCAAGCAATCAAGTAGGTTTACAAACAAAAATTTCCTGAACGAAGGATTTGATCTGAGATTGATATTTATTATAAAAAAAAAAAAAAAAAAAAAAAATTTGACATTGACCATTTCTTGTTTTCTTTTCCTATCTATATATATAGGGATGGTGTCAATGTTAAGGGATACTTTGCATGGACAATATTGGACAATTTCGAATGGGTTGCAGGTTACACAGTTCGTTTTGGCATTTACTACGTGGATTACAAAGATGGATTGAAAAGATACCCAAAACTCTCAGCCAAATGGTTCAAGAATTTTATGCAGAAATAAGGCATACAACACTTGTATTCAATTATCCAACAATGTTGAGTTGTAGGTATTTCTATCAATATGCACAAGATTTCTTCTTCTCCATATGTAATTATCCTTAAGCTTACCGTTTATTCGAATCCAAAAGTACTTTTATTATTGCCTATTATGGTTTTTATTATTTAATAATATTTTTATTAACTTTTTATTTTATGAAAATTGTATCAGATTCAATACATGTGTAGTGCATAAGTTATAATATAATCTACCTTAGCAAGAACAAAATATACTCGTCTACCTTACACTAATTAACACCGTCTCCTTTTCACATCCGACAAGGTGTCCGCAATGGGAGAGTCAAGGCAAAATAAATAAATATTTAAATAGGAAAGTAATTATATATATGTTTGTATATTAAATATAATTAATTACAGTAATAATAAACAACAATAGTAATACAAGTAGTAGTAGTAGTAATAATAATTAGTGTTATTTATACTCTTTAAGTATCTTGTATATACTACTTACATCTGTATGTGTTGTGGACTACACTGTACATGATAGTGTGCAACAAGATAAGCAAAATGACCAAGAGAAAATTAATTTGCAGAGGGACGAGGAGAGATTTGTATCAATTTTCGACCAGCTTGTCGTAGAGTCTGAACTTACCACCACACCTCGTATGGATGTTGGTGGTCTCTGGTGCTGATATCGTCCATCACTGGTGGCAACGTGTGAGTAGATTAAGTATAGGAGGTGATGAATTAGGATTTAGTGGGCCTTCCACGCAGCGGCGTAGCCACGGAGGGATAAGTGGCCCTACTAAACTTTTAATTTTTTATATTTTATATGGAAATATTTTTATATTTCTATTGTTGCCCCTCTAAAATTTGACAATGCGCGCGCATATATATATATATATATATAATCACTTTCTAAAAAAAAAAAATTACACTTTTTTGACTTTATCACAAATAAATGGATTATTTTCGTTATAGATAATACTTGAGTCCTGCCCTATCACTATAGATTGTGATAGATTGTGTCCAGTGACGTGGTTGAATGAAAATTTGACATGTGTAATAAAAAATAATATAAGTTTAAGAAGTTTATCGGTAGACTCATGTGAAAGAAATCCCCTCCTCTTAAATCTCCATTCCAAATCCCTAGCCGCCAGCACTCCTGAACCTCTGTGCCACCACCAACAGTCCCATCCTCACTCCACCACCCCCTCAGTAAACAAGCTTCCAAAAATCTACATAGCCACTAGTTGAGAGATTAGTTCTCTCTCTCACTCCCATCTTCTCCATAACAACATGCCAGTGCTTGGAATCGCATCCATCGAGCGATATCATCTCCTTTGGGGATGATTTGACAGAGACAGGAGGACGGAGACAAAGGAAGTAATAAGTAAAGAGAGAGGATAGAGGCGTAGAGAGAGACAGAGAGGAGTAAGAGCTAGAGAGCATCATAGTGATTTTTTGGTGGTGATTATGGAGTGAAGAGATGCATTGTGGTTGATTTCCGTTGTGGGGTGATTAATTGTTTGTTCACTTCTCTCAGATGGTTTGGTGGGTGTTGCGGTGATGAGTGGCAAAGGTAGAAAGTTGATAGGGTGATGGAGGATCACAAAAGTTGAAAGGGTGATGGAGGATCACAGAGAGGTGGAAAACTGTGGTTGAAATGGGTTTCTTGATTTTGGAAGTGTAACTGTGTAACAACTCAAATGGGCAGAGAGATTGAGACCGGGTTAATCCGTTTAAAATGGTTTAATTCATTTTTTACTTTTTGAGACGCGTCAAATTTTTATTAGGCCACCTAATCTGTCGGACATAATTTGTCCTGATAGGGCAGATTCCATTATATCTTCACTTTCAACATTTTCACAATCCAAACAAACTAAACGGAGCAATAGATAGAGACTAAGTCAATTGTAGTACAATGCGGCAGAGAGGTAATCTGATATATATATATATATATATATATATATATATATTTATCATCTAAATTTATTATTATTTGATATTATAATTTTAATTAGAAAAATTATTAGTTATTATTATCAAAATTATTTTAGGACTTGTTGTTCTTTTAAATTTTAGTTTGTGTTTTTATTTTTTTTCACATATGTGAATAATCTGAAAAATCGTTATGAATGTAATGAATAGAAATATTATGAATTAATGTTTTAATTTTTACATATATTGTTTTGGTTCAAATTATATATATATATATATATATATATATATATATATATATATATATATATATATTATTGCTATTAAAGATTGCCCCGAAGAAAATTTATGACTACGCCATTGGTTCCACGAATGTGGTCTTGATTTTGATGGTATATCAGTGAGTGAGTGAGGGTTTCATCGCAGGCAGTCGTACAATCTTTCAGAGAGAGTTAAAAGGGTGGTTGCTCATCGTCGACTGATGACCTAATACACCAAAACTCACCTAATATTAAGTAGCGACTCCAAATAAATGACATTGGAACATAATGGTATTAATATAATATGTATTCACCAAAAAAAAAAAAATGATAAGTCATATTTTAGCTCCATTGTGAATTCCTCATGTCTAGTGCACGCCAAATAAAATTGAATTTGATACAATTTTTCATTTGACTGTTAGCCAGCAATTGAGTGCTAAATTTTTTTGCTTAATTAAAGAATGATGGTTAAAAAATGATCAGATACTCAAATAACAAGGTTTGACATTCATGCCAAATTAAAAATTCGTACATAACATTCCAACATAAACAACATCAACATTCAACATCATTTTTAAGAAGCTTATTGATACATGATAGGGTTCAACATTATTGGAAAGACATGTAGGACAAGAAAATTGTCTCTATTTATTTTTTTGGGCAAGTATTTTGTCTCTATTTTTGTAGAAAGTTTTTTTTTTTTTTTTTTTGAAAATTCAAGTAAATTTATAAAAACAAGAATACAAACATAGCCCACAACATAGTTAGCCCAGAGCTAAACCAATAAGGGTGCAGACATGGCCCAAAGGCCAACAAGGCTAAAGGCTAACAAGGCTTAGGAACCAAAAACAATTACAGGACTGTTAGTATAGTTCTCGCATTCGGTGGTCATGGAGAAGGACTCCCACTTCCGTCGACGGCTATCAATGTGGATTAATGTTCGGAGGCTTCCGTGGTGGCCGGATTGTGGAATCGGGTAGCTCCCATTCATCTGCAACTCTGGGGGGGATCGTTGTCATGGCAAATTTGGAAGAGCGGAGTTTGGTTCTTACTGATTGTAGTGTCAAATGAAGAATTGAATTGGCAGATAAAGACTTCTTCTTGAAAATCCGACGATTACGCTCGATCTAAATGTTGTAGACCAGAGAGGCGAGGCACATTTTTGAGATAGATTTGCTGAAGACACCATAGTTCCCATTACAGTGGTGAGATGCCCAAGTTATCAAATCATTCTAGGTGGAGGGTTGAATATAAAACTCACAACGCATTTGAATAAATGCCCATAAGGGTTTGGAAAAGGAGCACTTGAAAAATAAGTGATCGTGTGATTCTGGTTCCTTTGAGCAGAAAGGGCATAATGTGGCATTGATATGTGCAATGCATCTCCTATTTAGTGCTGGGAGTTTGTTCTGAATGGCCACCCAAAGAGTGAAGTTATGCATTGGAATAGAGGGGTTGGACCATATCAAATTTGTCCAAGGTAGGGAGGGAGTTTGGTGGAATTGGTATTTTAGAGTTGAAGCAATTGAGAAGTTGCCTGAGGGGGATGGACTCCAGATGAACTTGTCTTTCCTATCATGGTTGGGGATTGGAAGAGAGGAAAAACACTGCAATTGGGGAAGGAGATGAGTTATAGCACTTGGGAAAGACCATGTGGAAGCTGTGATGAATGAGCAAAGCTTTGTCTTGCTGTCATGCCCTGACTTAGTAATTTGTTGTGGGGAAACAAGTAGGTGAAGGGGCCAAAACGAACAGTATAACCAACACTCCATTCAAAATTGTCCAATAATGACCATCCAAAGTAGCCCTTCAGGTTGACGTCGTCCCTATATATAAAAAGGAAAAGAGTAAAAATAACCCCCCCCCCCCCCAACACACACACACACACACACACACAGTCATTCTTATAAATCTACAATTCACCGTCATTTTAAAAACTTACTTGATTGCCCGTAGAATAAAAGCAAGATGTTGATAGTATTACTTTATCCTGAAGTTGTCAATGAGGGCTTTCTCAAGCAGCAGAGTCGCATTATTGACCTCATCAACCCCTAAAAAACAAAAACAAGGGATATATAATGTCAAAATTATATATATATAAATATATATGTATATATATCTACACACACCTTCTTTTAGATTGGCCTTGCTTGACTATGGAACTTTGTGTGTGTAGGATAATAGATTAGTTACCATTTTCTGTAGTATAAAGAATTGGATTGTTGTATTTCATTTTTATGTAGAGTAGAAGATCCCAAATCCCTCATGGATAAACATGAAGCCAATCTGAACCAGCCTGTAACACGATTTAAGGATCAATTATAAACATAACAAATTTGTGTACATTGTTATACTTAGCATTTTTTTTTTTTGAAAGATAAAGATGAAATTGAATTAATAATAAAGGGAGTAATACAAAGTGGCCCAAAGGAGCCAGCACAGTGCTAACTACAAGGAAAGCCAAAGCCCAATGGGAACTAGAGAGGCCCAAAAGGAAAAAATAACACTAGGATAAGCCCAAACCGTGCTAAACAAAAGGAGCACAGGACATATACAGTCAACATATATTCTGGTGAACATGGAGAAACTCTAACTGGGAAGATTCACAATCAATCAGGCAGTTTTTTCGATGGTCAAATTACTGATTTGGGCAATTCCTACTCAAAAGCAATCTTTTTGGAATTGAGTGTATCTGTGATGGATGAGATAAGAAGCTTTTCTCTGACAGACTGAAGAGTGAGATGGAGTAAAGAATTGGCTGTTGCTGCTTTCTTCTGGAAAATCCTCCGGTTACATTCATTCC